TTTACACTGGATTAAATCTTGAAAGGCTTCAGTGCTTTTGCACTTCATTTTCCACAGTATAACCACAGCCTACCATCTGTTTCTCCTAGAAGGAAACCATACAACAGGACTTTTAGTGTAAATGGCATTTCTTCTGACATGTTTATCCCTTCAGACTGAAGATAAATCCTACCTCTGAAAAAATCAAAGCCCAGTATGAGTTTTCAGAGAAAATACAGGTGTAAAATATAAAAACAACAGGGGATGTTTATGGAAACATAATTCACAGCAACAATGCAAAAGGAAACAACAGAGACACTCTCTTCCACCTAGGATCACTGTCCATCTGGTCACATACTGCTTTCTCCATGTTTTGCCCATAGATTATCATTCTGTTTCTGTAAACACTGGTTGAAAGCTCCCACCTTGTATACACAGGTCCCTAAATTTAAGTCTGTTAAACAATGTTATGGACTCTAAAGGCTTGAAGATCTTCAGAGCAACATTTACATAGATCAATGACAGGGGAAATCCAGGGAATAGCAAGCACAGCCATCATCTCTATCTCTGGAACCTGAGAGACACTGTCATAGCTCCTTCTTACACACTTCCTTCAGTAGCCACTGCTGACAGTTTTTAGAGACAGAACACTAAACTACACACATATCCAGTAGCAACAGTCTTGTTTCACTGCAAGTGATAGGCAAAATTCTTCCTGTATCCATGAGTTTTGGAAGGGTAGGAAATTAACAAGTGAAAGTGATTGCCTTATGAACTGCAACACCCAGAAAACTTACTTCTGAAGCAAAAGTGAGTCAATAATTATGCCTTTAGTCCTCTTAACTAATTCCTTATACGTGAAGGGTCAGATCATGCCACTGTCAGATTTCAGCATCTTCCTCATTCTTTTCTCAGGAAAACTAAGAACAATGTTCTCCAAAACAGATTTATGGCCATCATTCTCCCCTGCCACTGGGGTGATTTTAATCAAGACTCCTGTATGATGGCACAACCAAGTCTTAATTCAATGCTGGCTAAATTCCCATTGGTTTCATTCATAACTTAGACATTGCTATAGACTGACAGGAGGTTTCCCAGAACAATGAAGGTATACTGAGGATGTTGTTTTATACATGTATGCATATGCTTTTTCATACATAACCATCCTATTGCAGAGATAGGTGGGTCACACTGCAGATATCACACAGTGATAATAGTGTTGACATACAATCCCATTTTTGCAGTTAATAAGCACCAGAGCTGTGGAAATGCAAGTAATTGCTTTGCAGATATTTCATAAGAGTTTAGCCATCTGATATGTATATACATATATGCATATGTATTCTTTACTGTGAACTGCACACAGATAAAATCAATACAAAAGGAGATTGAAGGATAAGATGCAAGAGAGCTGCACCTGGCAATGACAAAAACAAACCAAACCAAAACAAAAACAAACCAAAACAAAAATAAAACAACAAACACAAACCGAGGATGCTCCAAGTGACAATTTGTGACCCAGTGCCAATACACACTGGAGCAGATGAAAAAAAAAAAAAAAACTGACATGTTTATCTATTTGGCCCACATGTGGCTGTGCCTTCTAGCACTGACAGCTCCTGCAGGTTGGCAGCTTTTCAAAAGCTTGTCAGGCCTTGATAGCATTCCTATTCCTGCAGAGATGGGTGGGGTGGTGCTGCAGATTACACAGTGATAATAGTGCTGACATATAACCCTGCTTGCACTGGTAGCAAGCATGGGAGTTACAGAAACGTGCAGAATTTCTCCGCAGCTAGTTAATAAGTGTTTGCCCAGTTTGTTATGTTTTGTATTTCTTCTTTATTTATTTTGTTAAGAAGTAAAATAACAAAGAGTAAAATTACAAAGGTTTTAGGCAAACTCACAAGAAAATTGCGTTGACCAAAATAATATTTTTAACTGTATCCCAGAGTTTAGGATTACTAGCAAATTCTTTCCCAGTTTTCCATTCTCTTGTGCTCGTAAAGAATTCTATTTTGCTTTGTTTCACACCATACATTTTTTGTTTATGGCATAGTTGTCTTCATTTCCTGGGTCCTGATACATGTAGCTTCTTTTATTTATTTATTTTATACTATATAAATAACTTGCAATATTTGTAAGGCATCTCAGTTCTTTCAAGAAAAGACTATGGCACAGATATTGATACTTCTGCAAAAGAGGCTATAGGCTTCTATTCAGAAAAAGTTCATAGAAATTATATCCCCACAAAAAAAAAGACAATTTTTCCTTATTTACTTGTAGATTGCTACCATTTTAGTTTTCTGCATTTTTCTCATTCTGTGGTACTTTTCTATTATACTACAGTAGCTACTGCTGTTTCATAATAAGGTTTGCTAGCACTAGAAACTGGGTGCATTTTTTTAAGCTACCAGCTAAGGAAGTTTTCAACCAATTACACAATAAATTGAATAAAACCTACAGTGATTCAAGAAATTGGAACTCCAGAAGAACAACTGATTTATTGCACCAGGAGAAAAATATACATATATACACCAGGAAATAAAGCCCTAACTTAATATATTTAAGTTAACTAATTTAGGTAAATAATTAGGTTGCAAAAAGGAAGTTATTAAATGATCCATGTATACATTAGAGAGGGGAACATAACACAATGCTTTGGATGTTTATTTGATTACTGTCCCACAAGCATGAATATAGAGCTTCAGATTCTGCAATATAATCTTTCCAAGTAGTTATGTCCACAGATGGAGTTTTCTGAGAGTAGATTGTTTGGGACACTGACTTGGCTTTTGGGTGTATCAATAGCTACTAATGCAACAAATATCTGAAACTGAGACCTTTTTTCTTTTTCTTTTTCTTTTTTTTTTAATGTAATCTGAAGCAGAAGACACTTAACATTCTAATGAATTACTGTCATTGGAGAGGCTGCCTTGTCAAGCAGCTCCTGCTCCAGGAGAGGACAAAGGGCACGCTTCAGCCCCTCGCAGCCCCAACATGTGTGGTTTCCTCGCACCAGGAGAGCCTGGCAGCCGGCCGCCTGGCCCCGCGCCAACCCAAACCACAGTCAGTCTAAACACAGCGCCGGCAAACGCTGCTTTCTGACACTTCCCTGCTACTGGAGTGTATCCTTGAGAGCTGAAACCTCGTCAGTGACTGAGATTTATACAGTAACGACTTCCCTCATCTTCGCTCTCCCCTCACACGTTTCAAACAGCCCAGCACTGAGGAACTGAGGAGAAAGGTTTGGGCAGCATCATATCATGGGCATGTGCGCAAGTAGGCACGTTTATAAAGTTGCTGGACTCCCATGGAGACCTTGGAAATGAGCACACCAGGGTGCTTTGCAAAGCTTTTGTGTCACTTTTAGCTATTTAAATACACTTTGCCTCAATGTTTTGTCTGAAAGGTTTGAGACAACCTGAATAGTTAAACAGAGAAGTATTTGAATTCACACATAATATTTTCCTTACTCTCCAGATATCCTCCTGGTTTTGAATTTTATTCCCTACTTTCAAGTTACCACAGATACACAGGCACACATTTGTTCAGCTTACAAATTTTAATTCAGTCTTAGCTCTGCAATAACTCTACCAAATGGCACTCTGACCACCAACGAATCCTCCTAGCTTAGTCTGCATTCTGCACTTCTAAGAAAGCTCAACATCCATAATAATCAGTGGTGGTTTCGCTAAGGTGAAAATGTTACCAGTTTGGGCAGAGTGATGTGAACACCTCTAGAAAGCTCTGAAGTAATCAATCACCTCTGAGCTTAATGGGAAGTGACAGCACTCAGCATCTCTCAGGAGGCTACTGGCATCACACTGTAACAGGATTCTGCTTTTCACATAAATAATGGTTGCTACTGAAAGCCTTTGCTAAAAATCAATCTATGGTATCAAAATCTGTGATATGAATGATGCTGTTTTCACTACGATGGCCTGAAGAGGTGATGATTCTTGAGTAAAATTCTGAGATGGAAGATGCATATGAGGTGCCTCAAAAGGCATCTCAGGGAAGAAATCTGAAACAATCTGAGTTTTAAAGAAAGCAGTGTGTGGAGCACTGTAGAATTTGAAATAAGATATTCAGCTGAGTACTAGAAACCCTTGTATATAATGATAGCAAGTGTTGTACTCAGACGTGGGGCAAAATCATCTCCCGTTACACCTGTTAAGCCCTCTGCTGCCATCATATTAATTCAGGGTCAGTTCCCTCTTCAGAGCTGACAGCAGAATACAGTCATTTAAAACCTCCTGCTGGTGCTTAAGGAAAATATCAAACAGCTGAGAATTTGAATTTTCTTTAGTAGAATGCATGGAACAAACAGGAAAGAAGTTTTCATGCATGTTCCTGTGCAAGCATCTGTTTCTTATACTTAGTAGTTACTTGTGCTTAGAAAATCACTGTTTCATCATGTTTACTACAAATACTGAAGGCTAAATTGCCTTTTTATTATCTGGAATTAACACTGTCACAGGGCATGGGCCAGGGCATACAATGGATCCCAGTGGAAGTTTTTCCTATCATTAACAATTCCAGATATTAATGTAAAAATTATTGCAATGTTAGAGGCAATTCAACAATTTAAAATATTCATATTGCCTCAGCTCTGTTCAATATTTGAGTAACGTAATCCCAATGACAAGAGGAAGAAAGGAAAGATCTGTCTTTAATTGCTATCTTCAAAATGCTTTTATGTGAGGAAGATGACAGATGAGCATGACAAAAGAAATGGGACGTGACAGAAGCAAGCTCTCAGAGGTACTGATATTTTGGTTCCAAGTAGGAGACTTCTTTTGTAGGATTTCAATCTCACAGGGACTTACATATTATCAGAAAAATCAACTCATTAAAGATAACCCATGTAACTGAGAGGTGAGATTATTAATCCTGGTACAAAGCATGGTACAGCAAATCTGATGATTACCCAGTGAAGTAAAAGAAGGAAAGAAGGAGAAAAATAAAGGAACAAAATTGAAATTATGTGATGAATTGAATTCTGTGGAAAATAAACTGACCTTTTTTACATTTTTGTTTAAATCAACCAAGTTGAGCAGGAAGATGTGGTCTTTTGCCCCGACGAGCAGCCGGCCCCTCTCCTCATCTAGCAGCAGGGTTCGAAAATCTAGCCCCTCTGTAGAGCCCAGGAATGGGATGCAGCTGTTTGAAAGCTGCAAGTCTGTGGGAAAATGAAAAAAATCTTTATAATCAAAATGTTTACATATGACTCATTGGTGTCTTTTATAAATATATGCAACCAGCATGGAGTATGTTGGTAAGATAACTGCAGTCTTGAAGCATGTCTTTCCAAGGTCATAGTATAATTCTTGTTAACCTTAGGCTTCTTGGAGGGTGGGGAATAGTATAATACCAAACTGGGTAATATTTACTCTTGCAAAGACTCTTCTGTATGAAACTTTCTTAATAAGTTATCTCTATGACATAAAGGAATTGCATTCTTCAGCAGCACTTGGAAAAAAAAATGTGCTATATCTTACTGCATTGAAAGTAAACCAACATGCATTTATATAATCGTATTCATGGATACATGTGGTGAAGGATCAATATCTTACCATATCTGTGGCTCTAGATATAAAGAAGCAAGAAAGGCAAATGAAAACTAAACATCAAGGAGCTGAAAACAGCAGATAGATGTGGCAGTTATGTAAGGATGAGAACTATGAAAATGAGCCTCATAATATAGAGTTTCTTCCTAAAATCTAATTGGAATCTACTCTCCTTTGGATTAAAAATATTATCCCACATCCTACCACCACATTCTCTGAGGAATAGCACCTCTCCATCTTTCCCATATTCACCTTCGAGTACTGTAGACACCCTTTATGAATAGACAGTTTGGCATAAGGTTCAGTTTGTCCATTGTCTAACATTCATTTTTGATGTCAGTACAGAAAATTGCTACAATTAAATTTCCAGTTACTACAAGTTACAATTGAAAACTGAAACCTGAAATAGAGGGCAATATAGAGGCATATTAAGGTGAGTATTGAGTACAGTGCCTTTAAAGTCCTGGGGTCAGTATTTTCCTTACAGAGGTGGTGCTGCATGGCTGTCACTGTATGATTGCCCTCCCTGCAGGGAAAGTTAGGGCACAGCTCTGACTGTGGCTTGTAATTTATCATCAAACCCTTTCCCTAATAAGAGCTCAATTTTCCAAAACAACTTTTCCTGTAATTTCATAGTGGGTTCCAATCTCCTTCAAAAGTAATTAAGAAAAAAAACATGTTGCTCCATGAAACTAATGAAAGAATCTATGCATTCCCCATGAAAAGCCAAAGGGTTCTAAAGTAGAATTTGAAGCCTCCTGCGGATGTAATTTTGGATGAGGAACACAAACAACATATAGAAAAGAGCACAATGAGAGTACAGTAATGTTGGGCAGTTCCTAATTCGGGGAGAACAAAAATAAACATATGAAACAGTTCTTCCACAAGCAATCTCTCCAAGATAAACCACTCAGAAATCTTGGGATAGAAAAGCAAATCCTGTGTTTAATTGAAAATAAAATTAAAGATATTTCCACCTTCTTAGTACTGTATGGATAATGTATCTTTCCAGATAGAGAGGTTAGATTTATAGCACAAATTATTTACACTTCCTGATCATGATGAAAATCATTACCAGTGCTTTGCAGAGTAACTCCTGAACAAAATAGTGAAAAAAACATTTTTCCCCAAAGTTTCTCACAAAACTTGTAACAGGCAAAGCAAAGATTAAGTCCTGTTGATAGCTAATAACCAGCACTATGGGAGAAAAAAATATTTTAACATTATTCAAATGACTATCTGGTGTACAATTATTTTTTTTTTTTGGCTATATTGCTTTTACTTAAGCTTGTGTGGTTTTGTCTGGCACACTGCTGAACACTGTCACAATATAGTCTGAAAATAAATTGTCTTGTATGGCAGATCCTATTCCCTTAGGTGGGATTTATTTGGCAGTACACTGAAAAATCTTACATCATATTGAAAATCACAAGTTAAACTTTATATTCCTTTAGAATTCTTTTTCGCCTATCTTTTGCACAAAGATCTTCTCACTATTTTGCACATTAGTAACTCTTTAAAAGACCAGTTTATTAATTGACAGCAAGATTACATAGGAATAAGTTGTGAATAGTGCGGTACTGCAAATGCTTAAATCTCATCCAAACTGCTTACATGAGAACTGGCTGATGAATAGCCAAACCAATTTTATATATATATTTTTTAAGAAAAAAAGAAAAACCCTCTAAACCCTCCAACTTCTGAAGCTTAGCTCACTTCACTACCATGTTTTAACCCTGTAAGAAACAAGGATTTATGGCTCCTGACACTTTTGTTGTTGCTGGGGTCTCTGTTAAAAGACTAGTGGCTTAAGTTAAACTCTTAATTTTTGTATGATGTACATGTGTCTTCATTAGATATCATACACTGTACAAAACTCCTCCCTTGTTTTTTCAGACTGGAAATTCTTGGTGCTGGATGTGATGAAGATGTTTACTGGGACGGGATTCTCTGATGCTGACCACAGCAAAACTGGAGGACTTAGCTCCCTTGGGCTACTCAGATTCTTCTTGGTTGATCTCTAAAATACTGTTTATCATTTGAGCATTTCTAAGTAAATGTCTTTCTCTTCTCCACCCATGATGTAAGAGCTGGCTGCATTACTAGATTATCCAATCCACTGCATACACTAACAAATTCCTTATAAATTCCTTCTCATCTCCAGCTCTAGAAATTTGATCTGAGCAAGGAGAGCATTTATACAAACACATACAACACTTGTCTGCATTCATGCAATCCACTGAGCTTTGCAAGTATGTCACATTCCTAAATATCTTGACCTGATTCGCCTTGCCACATACACAGAAGATTATTGAGACAGATTCCACTTCCTATTTCTTTCTTATTTGGAAGGAAATTTCTCTGTAGTGACCATACCAAAAGCACAGTCATCATCTATTGCTAAAAACTTCTAGTATTTCTCTTTACTGAGAACCACCTAGGACAGCTACAATGAGGACAGATAAAGTTTTCTCATGGCTGAAACACCCAAATAGGAATGAGCCCTGCCTGGTGCCTTGTAAAGCCATTTGTTCCATCACATCATAAGGAAAATATTTGTAAAATGTTGCAGATTAAAATGACAACACTACACACTGATTTCTTACTGATGTAAATTGCAACACAAGCTGCAAAATGGTGAAGAAGCAGGTTTGGTCAGTTATTTGCTAACTATTGAAAAGAGCCTGGAAATAAGAACACTACCACTGATTAGATTAAAATTAAAACATGACTAATAAAAGTTGACAAGTAAACATTAACAGAGAATTGATTAAATTACAGCCAAATTAATCATTGTTCTCACTCGTCAAAAACAAAACAATCCAGCTTTATCTGTTAATATTGCCATTTGCAGCAAGATTTTTTACATATGACCTAGGATATCACATTGGAAAAATTCACCATGAAAATCATACTTGTCCATTCACATTTAGGAGTATATATTCTATTTAAAAAAGCAGTTGATTCAAATCACTGTTCTGAAGCCAATCTAATATAAAATAGCTCTCTCACAGTGCAAAAAGCAAAGTTAGTTACAGAGATCATGTACGCCTGCACATTCACCACTCAATTTACAGTGTGTATACAGCATTGTACTGAAAATTAAACATTTTGTTTTCTTCACAGACTCCAGTCTGGACATTAAGTGAATATACAGCAAAATCCCTTTTGGGTTAATATTTCACTATGGAGTGGTAGGAGTTAGATTAATAAGTGTTATTCATTTAGAAAGGTGTCTCAGTGGACTTGGTTCACAACAGCTTGATCACTGCTTACTTTGAGTATCTACAGCATCAGTGCCTCATTGTAAGGCTTTCTAATTAAAAAGTGCTATCCTATTCCGATAATACACATTTACATTTATACAGCATATTTAGACTTCTTAGCTTCGAGTCATATATTCCATGATCATGCTGTTGTTCCTCACTCCAGCATGGTGTGAGCACTCAGGAAATCCGGAAAAATTTCACAGAGACTCAGAATGGTCTTTGTGGCCAGACATTTTTGTAATGACAGGCTATGACTAAACTGGAAGAAAAGGAACTCCTCAACCTGTTTCAAAACAACTACATCTAATGAAACCCTTGAAGCATCCTGAATTTAAATGCCGTGTTTTCATTGCAAATAAATTTGACTAGAGAAACAGCTGCACAAATAACTTGTAAAATGTTATTATTGTAGAGGTGATTAAAAGCTGTTTTGTGATGTCTTGTTGTTGGTGAAAAGAAATGCAAAGGACTGAATCATAACCCTCAAAGAGCCAAACAAAATAATTGTTTTTTTTTTGTTTTTTTTTTACAAATCACAACTGAAAATGCATCTGAGTGAAACACTTGGTTTTGTGAAGAAGACCTAAGCCAGTGGATTAGCATAGGGTTCTTTTTCTAAGTAGTTTATCTTTCTTGAAATACTGCCAAGGAAAGCAAACTCACTGTTATTTCCAATGCAAAATTAAATCATCTTTTTTTTTCTTCTTTTAAGCAATCCTGTGGACATAGAATAAGCACTACAAAAATAACTCAATATAAATGAGTGGCAAGCCTAAGAGCTTTGGTACTGCATAGATAATTGCTGGCATCTCACCACACATACCTCTACAAAAGTAATATTGATGGGCTTAAAGGACAAATCTCTCGAAGGAAATAGCACACCACGCAAAAAAAACAGGCCCATCACCTCAGTTTTCTCAGTTTCAATTGTAAGGTCTGCACTTATCTGTTTTTCCTTTCTCTCACACAGAACCTCATCCTTGCTGCCAGTATTTTGCATAAAGAGTAAATAATCTGAGTTATGAGACTGAAATCTGCTTTTTCCACTTCAACCTTATTTTCAATTCTACTGAAAGCATCCCAGTGGTGAGAGAATATTTTTCTCTAAGAAATTACAATATTTTTCCTTATATATACCAGAATAGTTTTAGACAACTATTGAAATCAGAGGCCTGTTTTTTTCCTGACCTCATAGAAGAGGAATTGTTTCCTTGACCAGAGACCAAGCACTAGCCATGTCTTTTAAAATCACTTTCCAGCAACCTGAGCATCAAGCAGCTGAAAGAAAACCTCTCGTTTATGCTAAAGGAGCAGCCCATAGGTTCACCTATTCCTATAGGCAT